GCCACTACTACAAGTTCACTGGCAAGGCAAGATGCCACTACAATTCCCCTTTTTGTCTAAAGAATGTTTTAAGTCTGATACAAAAACTATATATAATGATAACAAATGTCAAGTATATTCCAGGAGAAGGAAAGGTAAAAACATACACAAATTAAGACCTACAACCAGCAAGAGCAACAATGGGCAATAGACACATTCTACATGTCCAGTTTTAGGGTAGAAGCATATAACAGATATTACTCCGATAGCTGCCCTAATCTGGAAAAGTCTAAGTCTTTCACCTAGTATTTTCCATCTAAGGTAAGAGAGGATATTAGCTGTGACAGTTTAGTCTTCAACCTCATCAAAGACCTAAGAAGGAAAATAACATTACTAGGGTAGGCAGGAAGTACAAGCATGTGACTTCCTAAAGATGCAGGGGAAGATAGAAACAGCAAGCTACCTGGACAGTCATCCAAGGTCTCACAGTAACATCGGGGCAACCAGCTTTGGCTAAGGTCTAGAGTATCTGATAGACCAACACAGAAGCAGGGAAATTGAAAGACTGTCTTACACTGACTTGGCAAGGTTCAGCAGTCTCTAAGTTTATCTCCTGCTAGTCCAGTTGGGACAGTGTGTCCAAAGTCAGTGGTCGACGTGGGGGCAGTTCTTTGCCCAAGAGGCCAGTAGCTAAGAAGAGAACGAACTCCAGATGGAGGGTCATTGGTGTCCATCATACTCTCTGGGATAGTTGGGTGCTGTCAGGAGCAATTGTGTCTCATATCAGTGGAGTTCTAAATTATTAAAACATTTAAAGGCCATATTCTGTAGGTCTTTGAAGTGGTTGAAGATCAAATATCTATGTTGAGTTCTTCTCTGAGCACATATAGAACCTGACTAACATCATAAGGTATAAGAAGCATGGGTAACTATGATGTGTAATTTTCAGAAACATAATTGTTCAGTGACTGAAACTCCCCAAAATAATTTTAAAACATCTTAAAAACAATGTTCCAAAGTGTTCCTTGTTATAGAAAGAATTGTTTTTTAACAAGATAGAAAGCAGCTTACGGTTTATTTACTTGCAAAGGTTAATACTAGAAATTGACTGGGATGACTAATAACAGAAGATAATGAATATGTGACATTTTAAAAATTGAATTTATTTTCAAGTATTTATTAAAAATTTAGCAAAAATACTTTAAGTTCCACTTACACCTTTGAGGATGACTATAACAACCATGTATATTTTGACATTAAAATTGAGCATCTCATACACCCCACAATCATATTTTGCATTTCAATATAGTATTATCCACTAACAAATAGTAAATGTGCTACCATAATAATACATATTTTATAGTATCACATCAATACATTTTTTGTACATTCTACTATGATTCCTAATAATAAATTATACAATAAATTACTAAGATATTAAAAAAATAATTTAAAGACAGATTTAAAAAGAAGAAAAATAAAACATGGTTCCAGTCACTAAGAAATTCACACTCTATAGGGGCAGGCAAACAGACAACACAATGTGACAACTTTTGAGGAGAATGTTACAAAGAAAGATATGTATGAACTTTAGAAGAATAACTTAACCCAGAATAATACACTTATGGATGGTTTAGCGGTGAAAGCTTTTCCCAAGTCAGGAGCTGATGGTAGAGGAAGTGTGTCTATCACATGACCTGCACAAAGGGGCAGAGGTAAGGGGGCAAGCATGGTTGGGCAACTGTAAATGCTATTCGATATGACTGAATGGAAAGATACAGAATGGAAAGTTGTGAGAGAAAAGGCTACAGGGGTAAGCCAGGGTGTATCATTAAAGGATGATCTAAGCTACAGGTGACATGCTAATTAGGAAGACTGAGCCATCAACAGTGAGAGAAGGAGTATCAGTTAGGATGTTATCTTAGCCATGTCAATTTCAAACAAGGATAATAAGTAATGAAGCAAAGAAAATAAGGAGAGGGGTTGAACTGCTCAGATATTTAGATAACTAGAGCAGCAAGAACTGATTCTTGGCTAGATGGTCTCAGAATGGGAAAAGCAGAAACACTGTTAACTACCTAGAAGCCCTGGACACTTTCCTGGGTAGGGACTGGAAGGATAACTAGTCTTTTGCTTTAAGGAGCTCTGGTTTTGGTATTAATGCCTTAGCTATGATTCCAACAGGTTGGCAGAGGTGTTTCTGAAAGAGTATGGGCAAATGTGATGTGGAGTCATGGATACAGACACCACAAACACCAACAATGGTAGTGATAATAGGGGAGTAGACATTCAGAGTATAAGAGAAAAACAGTCTGAACCTCCATGAGCAGCAACATACATAATGGATAGTTTCATGGTAGTGAGTCTCTGAAGGAAATTCAGAAGACTGGTTAGAGTGCTAAACGAGAAATGAGATGCTTGCCTCCAAATTAAGAATTACAAGAACTGAGGGTCAATCAAATCAACAACAAAAATGTATCAAAGACACTTAGGAAGTAAGATGCTTGTGTCTTAGCAGCAATTTCAGTTTTAGTGGGAAGAACAAGTTATAGAGAAGATGGAGGAAGAAATGCAAGCTGAGAGCATCTGAAGCAAGGGATTACCTTTAGGACACAAGGTTGGCAGGACTAAGGGAGGAGCCAAAGCAAGGGTAAACCGCTCTTACCTCATCTGTATGCGCCTCTAGTAAGTCACATGGTTAATGGCAGCATACAGGCTTCCTCCTAGAGATGCCTCTACAACAAATACACTAATGTGAACGACAAGTATCACAAACTTAAGAAACAGGCAAAGGAAGCCCTACAGGTAGGGTTCCTAGTGCAAAGCTAAGACACTAATGTAAACCACAAGTGTCACACACTTGTAAAACAGTAAGAAAGCCCCATGGGTAGGGTTTCTAAGTGCAATTTGTGCTGGTTTAGACAAGCAGACTGACTGAATAGTTATCACCACACCCTCTTTCCCGCTTCTTTTGTTTTTCTGTTGGATGTGGATTCTCTGACTGAGAATCTATTTCTCTTGGCAGCAGGAAACAGTTTCATCACTTCTGCCTTCCAGCTTAAGAAAGTGGCAGTTTCAGTCACGTTCCACCCTTAGACTCAACACAGAGGCCGACAGAGAGAGGGTGTCATGAGTGAGAAGGGCGCTTCCCCCTCATTAGGGCAATCTGCATTAGCGGGAAAAGGCGACAGGGAGAATGCTCATTATGGGACACAGCCCACAACACCCACATATACATGCGGTGTCATACAGTAAGCTCCTTACTGTTTCACTTCCATGTTTTCAAGACTTCAAAGTGCTTTTTAACGACCTCTTCCTAAATAAGACCAGCAGGATATCTTCCTTCCCAATCACACATTTGCTAAGAGGGCATGAGCAGCAGTCAGTGCTGCTCGGCCCAGAAAATATGGCATGTGACTGTCAGAAGGAACAGGGAGGAGACAGTAGAAAGAAACAGGCTGGCTATCTTGAAGCATTCAAATAGCAAACCTAGAAACCCAGAGAAGGACTAAGTCAGGCTAGTCCTAGCAGTAGAAACAGGATGACAGACAAATGCTATGGATGTTGTGTTTTGAGGAGCATTTCTAAGGACTGTAGCAATCCTAGGAGAGTACTGTCTTACAATATAATGGAGAAACTCCTGCCATAATAGATGTTTTTGAACTCGGGGTGTCTGAGACTTCAATGTACTCACAAGAAACTACTGAATAGTCTTGGAAACTGCCCTGCCTGGTTTTCAAGATCATTTCCAACTCTAAGATATTAGTAGATAATAATCATCCATGTGATGCAACAAGAGAATTTGTATATGATGGGGCATCATTCTGATGGCTGTCTAGTTAGTAAATATTGGCCTCCTAGATTTTTTTTTTAACTGTGGTAGCTTGATAAGAGATATTCTCCATAGGGCTTCTGTATTTGAATACTGGTTGGTAGTGCTGTCTGGGGAGGTTTAGGAGGTGCAGCTTGCTGGAGGAAGTATGTGTCACAGTTGAGGCTTTTAAAGCCTCACCTCCACCTCCGGTCTAGTTTGCTCTCTGCTTCCTGCTTTTGGTTGAAGATGTGATTTCTCAGCTTCCTGCTCTAGACTCCGCGCTCCCTTGAAGTGATGGCTCTTACTGCTCTGGAACTATTAGCTAAGTAAACTCTTTCTTCCATAAGCTGTTTTTGGTCATGATGTTTTATCACAGCAACAGAAGGGTAAGGAATAATAACTATAGAAAACCCCATACAAATGACCGCATTTGCAGACACTTTCTACTATGGTTTCCAGATTCAGGTGGGCTAACCTGGTAGAGGGAACCCTGCTGCATAATCTCCTTTTATGCAAAAAGGGAAACAAAGTTGAAAAGAGGTCCCCTCCCTCAAAGATACACTTTAACAAGATCAAATAGGGCTGGGAGAACTCATTTTCTTAAGAAAGGAGAAGCAGTAAGAGTCCACCAGGTGGTGCTATCAGGATGTTGGCACACGGTTGATTAGGGCAACAAACAGCCTTTGGTGGTTCTATCTGTCCTTAGATGTTCTCAAACGTTTCACCCAGTCTCAGCTTCTAAGGCTATTCTTAGGTTTGTAGAAAAATAATGTAAATCTTAATCTGAGAGTTTCAACTCCAAGATCAGATCAAGTTTAAATAAACCTTAGGTTAAACACATTTTGAAATAGTTTTCATTGTTTGACAATTCAGTCTGTTTCACTGAAGTGAAAACTGTAGCTATTAACATGTAATTTTAATTATTAATTTACATATGCTGCAAACTATTCTCACTGGATATAAGTGAGATAAGTGTGCATCTATACTTATTTATAATGAATCTTTAAGTTTCTTCAGGTAGCCCCTGAATTCTTGACAATTAAATAGAAGATTGCAGTAAATTGTATTACTTAAAGTAATACTACAGTCTAACACAAACACATGAAACATTTCAAAATCACTCTATCACTCTATTATTTCTTATAAAAATAACATTTCATGATTTCTCACAGCATAAAACCTGAAAAATTTAAACTAAAGTGCAAAATAAAGTAGTTTCATATTCAATTGTTTTCTTTTAAATGCTCAATATTTTAAAAACTGAGAAAAACATTACCATATTTTCAAAAGTCTCTTGCAGTCTGAGTGATTTTAATTATGTGCCATCAAAGTCATGAGGCCTACTGAGATTTTTTCAACTTCTCTTTCCAGTTCTGCGTCTAGGATTTCCCCCCATGTATCAGCATCCATGGGGCACATTCGTTTCTCTGGCAGGCTAGCAGGAGAACGTATGTTGCTGTATCTGCCACTTAGCCACTCGTGTTTCAGTTTACTCTTCTGGTAATTTCTTAGGAGTATTACCTGAAAGGGACACACACACATCATCATCGTTCAAAACTCTGGCAGTGTGGCTAGCTAGTGAGCATGTCTGAAAGCAGAGAAAGTCATTCGGAGATCTGAGGTTACTGCCAAGGACATAAACATATAATCACACTAATCAATTCACGTGTGGTTGTATGGGTTAGGTATATGCAGAGAGCAGTCCATTGTATGTATTGCCTTCATAAGGTGGAATAAAAGAAATGGACCTTTTCACCTCCCTTCTGATTAACAAGGGATGTTCTTGACTTCAAGATCTGAGAGACAACGAGATATACAAGGCTGGGTGGGAGAAAGTGTGGAGACGATACCAAGTAGAGAGAGAATAGCGATTCAACTCTGACTCCCCTATAGTAAAAACACTCTACAGAGTTCTCTTAACTGTGCTACAACAACCATGCCAAAAGCACGACAAACTGCAAAGGTTAAACTTACCCTCCAGGTATAACCACTTCTTATGTCATCGTCTATTTCTCTTTGGCACACAGCTCTTGCGGTGAAGCAGTGAGCTTTCCATAAGGCATCATTGTTTCTTACTGCGCGATGCCAACTCCAGCATGTCTCGGAAGCTCTGCACAAACTCTGAATGTCGAGATGGCTGAAAATCTTACAAGTGACTTCTGGAGGCAGCAGTTCAACAAAGTTACTACGACTCTCTGTACTTCCGCATTCAGCATCTGCAGAATTCATTCTGTACTAGGAGCTTTCAAAGTACTGTTCCTCATGGAAGTGCCCGTCATAGTTCAATATTTTAGTCAACTGTCTTCATATGTAACCTAAGGGCAAAGTTTAAATACACTCAGCCTTTTTAGACCAAACCATGCATCCTATTCTGAGTCAGAGAGTTTTGAGATATGATTTAAAGAACTTTACATTTCTTGACTTCAGCCTATCAGTCTGCAAGACGGAAGCACTGCTGTGTGTCTCACGTATTTGTGAAGACGGACAGGTGGAGTGAATAAAACAAATGGCTGCGCATCTGACTTGTACGTGGGGGACAATAAAAATGCTCCCTTCTTTTTGAACATTTTTAGCAAATACGGTCGTCTCTGCATGTTCTGTTTCTTGCTGCTCCCGAAAAACACTGTCTTTAAAAATGGGAAATGATTCTCCACATTATGTATTTACTGAGTTTAGTAATAATGGCTACTTTAAGGACATGTTCAAAGGTTTATTGAAAGTACATGTGTGCGAACTTACGCTTTACCATTACCATTCAGCTCTCCGACTTCAATCTGACTTAAACAACAAACCTGCTGGGTTTTAGTAACTTACATAACAACTATTTAATTACGTGGATTAAGTGGACAGGTGCTTACTCTTGACACAGACTTACATAAAATGGACAAGGAGGGAATCCTGCTATAGTTACACAGGCTCCTATACTCAATTAGGCTTTAAGGGTAGTATTTGAGAAATGAATCTACTGTATGTGCATGATTATGAGCTCAGGATGGCTGTCCCTGAATCTATCAGTGGGTGACAATTACAGTCTAAACAGTTCATAATTTATCTAGGAATAGCATATGGCCATGGATTTAAAGCCTTATTTCAGCTAATGTTATCAAAGACCACAATGCAAGCTTTTGGAAGCATGTCTGGGAACATCAACCTTGAGCTACTTTGCAGTATAAGGACAATTTGTGTTTACCTACAATCAATCTATGCCATTTACACTTTCCCTTTATAATAGGGAATCAGGGTACAACAGGAAGTTAAGGTACATCTAACTATCTCTTCACTCAGCTAATAACACATCCCTTTTCCAGATGTACTATTCAACTTTTTTAAGTTACTGACATCAAGGTGGACTGGCTTTGGATAGGCTGGTTTATGATCCAGATTGCTTGTGGTTGGAATTGTGATGACTGCATTGGACAGGGGGCTCCATTAGATGGTTTTGTAAAACAGAAAGCAACTTGGTGGGCAAAACAAGGCAAAAAACACAAGATCAAATACTTGCAACAAACCTTCTTTCTCCCCTCCGACCACTGATACAAACTGAAGTCAAAGCAGTATTTTTAAAAAGAAACTCATATTAGGAGGCTACAGTGTATTGCTGCTCCTCTCAACTCCTTATTAGGAACAAAATGCTTCCTTCTGCCAAAGGAATTCCACAAGAGGTGTAAGTTTTTCAAGTATAGATTCTGTGGTGCCTTGGTCATACTGCCAAAAAAAAAAAATCTCTCTAGGAATCTTCTGAATTATTTCTATTGGATATTTGGGAAACTATCCCACGTATGCCTTTTCTTTTTGAACCAACCTCGCCGGGCTACTCCGTTAGCTTGGAGCCCTTCCACCCCACCTTTCAAAGATTTATTTGTGGGTGTTTTGCCTGCACGCGAGTCTGAGCACTACGTACATGCAGTGCCTCCGGAAGCCAAATGTGGGCGCCATATCCCCCCAAACTGGGGTAAGAGACCATGGCAGTGGGCTCTGGGAAGTAAACCGGGGTCACCGGGAAGAGCGAGCAGGGCTTGCACCCTCTGGGCCACCTCTGGCCCCTCCACCCACTCGTCCTGTCAAGTGTCACTGAGAGTAGGGGAGCGGAGCAAGGGCACCGCCCGGCCAGACTAGTTTTAGGGGAGCCCAAACCGGTCCGGCCGAGCGTAACCGCATCCCTGTGTGCTGCGAGGAAGGTGCCGACCAGAGAACCTAGCAACCGACCGCCATCGAGCACTCAGGACCCTATCCCGGGAATGACCCGGCAGCCTCTCCTACCTAAAGCCACGGAGCCGGCTCCTCCCGCGATTTCAGTCCTGAGAATTTGAATCCTTTCCGGGAGGCCTTTACGTCCCGCCCTCTCGCCCACCCCGCCCCTCCCACTCGGGCGCGCGCGGTGCCTTCTGGGCTTGGTAGTTTTCCCTGGGTTTCATCGCCGAAAGAGAAGGAAAGAAAGGCGGTTGGAGACTACAAGGTCCAGAGGCCCCTTTGAGTGACGGCAACCGCGTGGGCGGGGCTCGAAAAGGGCGGGACTCCCAGTGTGTTTTGATTGATAAAAGGGCGGCGGGAGGCTGAGGGTCTGCGCGCCTAGGTTCTCCCCGCCCTGGGGGCTCTTCCTACCCGCCTAAGCACCCCCGTCCCTGCCGGGCTTATGTGGTTAAGGTTGCTGAAAAATTAAAGTTCACGTAGTGGTTTTTTTCCCCCTTGGACAGGTGGTTATTTAAATGTTTAGATGATAAGATCGTGTTACTCCTTTCCTTAGTTTCTTTATAGTAAACATTATAGGGAGCTGCTTGGGGAAGCTTGCATCTCAATGCACTATGTGCTTCATCTAGTAGCATTTACCAAAAATATAGTGAAATATCAAGGACCACCGAGGCTGCTATGGAACCGTAAACCGTTCTGCTTATGTGGTTATTAAGTAGGTCGAACATTTTGTCTTTGTTTCCAGAGCTTTTGTTTGCCAGCATTCAGCGTTTACCCCCTTGCCAGCTCTTCATCTAGTTCTGAATTTCTGTATAACTTGTTTTGCTTATTTCAACCTTACTACTTTTAGTTTGGACAGTCTGGTTATAAAGACGACGCTGAAGCTAAGAGGCACTTGCTTACTGTACCCTTGGCAGACAGCATCACAGGGGACACCCTGGGGCATGTAATGGCCTCGGAGGGGAGCTTCGATATACCCTGTTGTGAATTCAAGAAACCTTGATTCAACCGGGAGACACACTGAAGAGCTGATTGCCTACTGTAAGTTATTGTCCACATTCCCAGGTAACATCTGAGATAAGCCAGAGACTCATTGAGAGGAACTGACCTCGGGTTGAGAGCTGAGGGAAACGAGATACTCTCATAAAGGGCACATAAGTCTGATCCAAACCACTTTCCACTAGCTGTCATAAACAAACAAACAAACAAAAAACCCACTAGGGTCCACTATAGACGATACGAGACAGAAATGCAAGGAGAGAGGAAATGTGTGTGCTGGTGAGTTTTTGTCAACTTGACACTTGGAAGTAGGAACCTCAAATGAAGAATTGCCTCACTCAGACTGGCCTGTGGGGTCATCTGTGGCGGCATTTTTTGATTGTAGATCCATGTGGGAGAGCAGAGTCCATTGTGGTGGTCCTGGGTTGTGTAAGAAAGCAAAATGATCAAGCCATGAAAAGCAAGCTGGTAAACAGTGTTCCTTCCGGGCTTCTGTTTCAAGATCTTGCTCTTTCACTGATCTCTGGAATTCCTTGTCATTTTTGAGTTCATGCTCCCTTAGAACCTTCCTTCTGTACCTTTACCACGGCTTAACATAATGCTGATCATGCCGCCCTTAACCAGAAGAGGGCACCATTGACCTGTTGGTGGTACACCTCCTCCTCCCCTCCCAACTAAGTTTAGTAACCGCGTTAAATTTAGTAACTGTTTTCTGGACAGGACAGGGCTGTAGCGCTTATAAACTTAAGCAGCTGTTGTTGCCTGCGCAAGACCAACACTAACTAGATAACCCAGTCAGCCTTCTAGTGTACAGGAATGGGGGTGGGGAAGTTCAAGAGCCTCTACTTCTAACTGAGGAGTTAAAGATAGAGGATGGCTTTTGGGGAGTTTTCTTACCGGGCATGTCATCTGGTAGGTCAAGCAAGCACGGGTGGATAGCTCTATACCCAGGAGTAAATGACAGCATCAATTGGAGTCCATGGATGGATGAGAGTGAGAAGGAAAATATGAAGGAGGAGAGCTGAGAAGGGGGGGAGTGAATCTGAGACGTGGGAGGAGGAGGAGAAGGAAGAGGAGAGAAGGGTTGAATACCATCAAAACAACGACACCCTTTTTAAAAAAATTAGTAAAACTTAATATGGAGATTATTGCATTCACAGATTGGGAGACTAAACACTGAGTGTGCGAAAATGCCGATTTTTGTCAGTGAATTGATGCATTACAATGTGCTCTAACATGATGATGAAGACGTCTGGGACATGCTGAAGCATCACTGAAAATTACATTGAAAGACACGTCAGCACTGGTTGGGCACCTTGAAGGCACTGTGTATTTTTATTCATATATTATTCTGACAAACACACTGCCATTTATGTTGAGATAAAAATGTCAAAACACATGGGCTGGCCCTGTTTTGGACACTTATTCATTTCCATATAGTTTTTCCTAGAGATTTTATTTACTTATATTTTATTTATTTTTAAAATTTTTAATTTTCTTGTGGTTTTTTGAGATGTAATTTTCCTGTATAGCAGTCCTGGCTATCCTGGAACTCAACATAGCCAGGAACTCAAGATAGCCAGGCTGGCCTCAACTCACAGAGATCCACCTGCCTCTGCATCCCAAGTGCTGGAATTAAAAGTGTGTACCACCACCACCTGGTCCCTATTGCTTTTTAATTTTTAATTAAATATAATGACATCATTTCTCTCTTTCCCTCCCTAAATCCAGTCCCTCCAATATACCCTTCTTCCTCTTGAAATAATTACCTTTTTAAACTATTGTTTTACACACACACACACACACACACACACACACACACACACACCCCTAAATGTACAAACAGACTTGTTCAAGGCATACAAGTTCAGGGTTGTCTACTTGGTATTGGATAACCAACTAGAGGCTCATTTTTGGAGAACACTAATTCTTGTATTCTCTGCATTCCTTGGTTGCCTGTAGTTCTTTGCCTAGGGGTAGGGTTCTCTGAGATTTTTCCACTATCATGTTTGTTGTCTGTTGGCGTTCTCTTTGTTTGGGTTTTATTTAGCTAGTCGTTTTGTTGAGGTGGGTGAACTGTCTCTGTCATTTC